TCTCAATCACCGCCGTGTGATTGATGTCTGCTGTTCTGCTGAAAAGTGACAACAATCGCCGTATTGTTCTCACTTCCTGTGAAACTAGCCATGTTATTGTTTTCATATTTTGCCAAATTAATGTAAATGTTTGATGTTAAACTTTGATTCTGTAAATAAATGACCGCATTCATTTTGATGGGTCAAAGATAAATAATGTCTCTCGTTACATTTCTGTTAAACTCAATGCACGCATGCTACACAGTCAGAAAAATGAAGAACCCGTAAATGTATGAATATATCCTGCATATGTCATACTACACTAGGCAAAAGGGCCTTCTCCTATTCCGCTCCTGTTTCCTGGAATATCTTACAAAAAGATTTGAAGCTCTCGACCTTGACCTCTCTAAGTGTCTTTAAGAATCTGTTGGACACCTGGCAGGGTCCAATGCTGACATGCTCCTGTTTTTAGTTTTCTACATTTGTCTTGGAATCTAGCTGTTTTTGTTTTGTTACCTTTTCCTTTTAGCCATCCTATTTGTTAAAAAAAAAAAAACTGTAGTATGCTTTTTTATAACTGTTTATTGTTGTTGCTGTTGTCCATTGTTGTCATCTTTCTTTGTTGAAATCAGGTCTCTCTTGTAAATGAGTCCTCGAGGCTCAATGGAATTTACCTGTATAAATAAAGGTTGATTGATTGATTGCTTCAGATCAGCTGTTCAAATCTCTGCAGGTTCAAATAAAAGGTGCACCAGGGCTTTCAGCTGAATCTCTCGGGCCACAGTTGTATGGTCGATAACTGTCTTTTCTGAATTTTTGACTGTTTTTGTCTCACTTCATCCTAGAACCAAAAAATTTATAACATAACAGTTGTGTCATAGCTCTGCTCTCTGTCAGCTCCTCTGTCATGCTGCACACTCAGTACTCACTCAACTCATGTCACCTGTCACCGCTCATTATCCCACAGCTCCACCACCTGGTCCAGCCAGTACTTAAGCTCACTCATTCCTCTCAGTCTGGGCCAGATTCTCTATCCTGTCTCATCAGCAGTAGACTTTCCAGCATTCCATTGATTGACTCATCACGTTCATGACCCTTGCCTTGACCACGACCACGCTTTTGCCTCAGCCCTCGTCTGCTTTTGCTCATCTGATCAGGTACCGACTCATGCTCTTGTTTTTTGACTCTCTTTTTGGATCACGTACTGGATACTTCTGCTGAACAACTGACTTCACGGTATGAACTCTGCCTTTCCCTTCTGACTGTTTTTTTGGATCACGGATTAAAGGTCAAGCTCATTCTGTATCACGGACTTATCCTTACCCCTGAATCTGATTCCCACAGATTCATTTCCCCAATTAGTCTCTTTCCCCCTGCATCTACTAACCTTTATCTTTTAGTTGCAAGCCTGTTGGACTCCGTTCCAGTGGACCTTAACATCAGTTCTACTTCTACTGGCAGCCCGCCACTACAACACTACCCAATCACGAACTACCAATCAGAAGATCGGAACCAGCCCAGAACCGGACCTACTCCAGAGTTTTACTTTATTTCACAATAAATCTTTTAACCCTCTCAGTGGTTGTTGTTGTTGTTTGCGATCCGGCCTCTGGTTCATGACAAGTTGAGCAGATTCTAGTAATCTTTTCTTAGGATTCATTAAAGATCAAATGCAATTGGAAATTCTTCTCAACTTCCAGTATGAATTTAAACAAACACTATATGAACTTAACATTGTAAAATTTGTTTAGGAAATTTAATGTTCAAGGACACCACTTAAGAAAAAAATTGTTTAATATGAAAAGTAAGAAGTGAAAAATGTACAAAAATAAAAAATACTGCCTCCAACTAATGATTGTGTATCTGTGTCCCTCGTCTCACGGGCTTCATCCAGAAGAAGACACAAGTGTTGTTTCTGCCGTGTCCGGTTCAGTTCTTCATGTTCATTCAGTGATGAAATAAGACTTTTCCTTACTGGACTCTTTTCTCTTTCTCTTGCCTAGAAAGAAGAAAAAGGTGGTTAATTCAAGCTACATACTGTTTTTGAATAAATGCATAAACCAAAGAAAGGTGCAGCTAACAGCTATAATAGCTATATTAATAATAATAAACTGATAAAATAAGAAAATGAAAAATAAATTGATTTAAAAATAATGAAAATAATATAATAATAACAATGAATATATGAATCAGAAAGTATTATACAGATACAGATATTTTTTATTGTCATATGCACCACATGTGGTACATGTGGTAGATCAAAATTATGTACACAGGGTCCCAGTTACATCCAACAATAAAATGTAAAAGAAAAACAGTAATAAGATCTAAGATATGAACTATGAAAAGCATCAACTAAAAATATGCTAAGCACTAATAGCATAAAAACAATAAACACAATACTCGAACAGCAGCATGGACATGAGTCTATGTGAACAGATGAGCACAAATGTACACAGCAACATGAAACAGATCAGCAGCAACATGAAACAGATCAGCAGAAACATGAAACAGATCAGCAGCAACATGATGTGATTTTCCAGTGATTATCCTGGTTAGATATTCATAAGGCTGCATAAACTCAAGTTCATGTTGCTGTTTGATGTATTGTTTTGATTGTTTAATGCTATTAGTGCTTAGTGTATTATTGGTAGATGTTTTTTAGTTGATATTTTTCTTAATTCATATCTTAGATCTTATTACTGTTTTTCTTTTACATTTTGTTGTCTGTAACTGGGACCTTGTGTACATAATTTCATCCCAATTCAGGATTTATTCAACATTTTAATTTTTTACTTTAAAAATAAAATAAAAGCAAGTCCTTATCGGCACAAATAAAGTGATGTGGAACATGTTGCATCTGTTCTTACCAAGCACAGAAGGCTGCAGCATTGTCTGTGAGGTACAGGTGGGCTGCGAGCCTGCGATGGAGCTCTGTCAGGGGCGGACTCCGCTGATGGAGCAGGGGCAGGAGCCGGGAGGCTTGGAGGGTTTAATGTGGAGTTCAGAGAAGAACCGTCACGCGCTGAAATACGTTCTGGATAAAATACAGCGAGAAACGGGACCGGAGGACAGTTAGCGTTTATGCAAATTAGCTTAGCATCGTAGCACCGATGTTGTCCTATTATGGCGTCAGCCTCTTTTGTTAGTTAAAAATATGTTCAGAACCGATGGGATGAGTAAATTAAAATATGTTTAAAGTTAGAAAACACTCACCATCTTCTATAAATGATTCAAGTAGAGCAGTGGCCGTGTCCAAACTACCCTCCAATCGCTCCATCTAGCACGCTTTGACTTTTTTTGTCAGCCACCAAGCACAACAACACCTGCACTTCTGCATTTGACCACAGCTTTGATATTATTGTTTTTTATAGCTTCAAAATACTAAATGATACGCTCCTCGAGTTATTGCTAATAGCAAGCAGGAGAGAAAAAATGGCGGATCGGGTTGTTTGGAAAGACTCAACAGACTCCTCCACCCGACCAATCAGTGACCGACAGTGTTTCTGACGTCACGGCTCGGCTCGCTTGGACCCCTTGAGGAGCCGGGCCAGAATTTAGGGAGGCGAGCCGGTCCCAGGAACAGTGAAAAAGACCTCAAACGCGCGTCAAGCCGGAAATATCCGACCCGCGCCGTGACAGTGGAAAAGGGGCATATGTTGGCATAAAATTCTCGACCTGCGCATGCGCAAGAATGATCATTCAGTGCTTTAAGTACCGCCTCTGGCGGTCATCCAGGATTCATAGAACCGTAGTTACAAATGTAACATTCGTTCTACAGTGACAGCTGACTTTCTCCTCCTGACAAAACTTTAAATAAATATTTTTGTTGACTCCTGTTTCAATTTCTGCGTCCCCCTCATAATTCATTACACAGCAAAAGAGTCTATTTCTTTCGCTCTTTTGCTGTGTAATGAATTGTGAGGGAGACCCGAACATTGAGACAAGAGTGAACAAAAGTATTTAAAATTGTATCAGAAGAAAGTCAGTTGTCACTCAAAGAGCTCAATCACAGGTGGAGAAGCCGAAGCTGCGATGATGTCAGAGGGAAAGGAGGTTTGGATGGATCACGTGATATGTGAGCGAATGTCCGACAAACACTCTCTTCAGAATGTGGAGCTTGGTTCTGAGAGCTCAACTCCTAGAGTCAGTGGTCTGAGTTCATGGTCAAAAACACAGGCATGGGTCGTTCACAGAGGCAAAAAGGTAAAACTTATCCGAGGGTTTTAGGTGGAATCGGTGCTCTGAAGGCAGAGCAAACGTCGAGGTCCAGATATACGATGGGCAGAAGTATCATCTAGGACGAGGCAAAGGGGACAAGTCTGTTGTCATGAAGAGGGTCAGGAACAAGAGCAGGAACAAGAACACTGGATAACTTCAGGCATGAGGTGATCAGATAATCTGGCAGAGACTGGGGAGTGCATAAGAAACACAGCGCTAAAAAAATTTTTTTAAATAAAGCAAAGCGCACAGGTGCTAAATCATTTAAAATAAATTATTTTAAATGATTTAGCACCTGCTGCAGAAGGTTGGAGGTGGACTGGCCATTGGGAGCACTGGGACATGTCCTGGTTGCCTGACCCGTTTGCCGAGGGGGACTAAAGGCTCGGTTCAGGTCACGCTTGATTATTTTAAATAAACAATACATGCTGCTCATGTGGCATGGATTGTTTATTTAAACTATTACAGTATTTAAATTTTAAATTTAAATTGTTTATTTACACAGAAGGAGGGAGATTGGGAGTGACACAGGTGATGACCACAAGCGTGACTGCAGTGGAGAAGTGGCCGTGGCAGAGAGCGCATGGCAGGTGGCAGAGTGGAGATTGTGAAATTCTGTGCTCTTTTAGAGCATTTAGAGTTTAGAACATTGTGTTTATATATATATATAAATACTAAAATAAATACAACGTCCCTATTTTGCGGTTTTGCACTTATTGTAGGGTGCCTGGAACGTAACCCCTGCAATAAACGAGGGACTAATATAATGTTAGAAATTAGTGTGCTTTGTTTTCTCTCACCACCCTGCAGAAAACTCCACAGCCAGGACAGCATTGGTGCTTGACCATGCCAGCTCGGTGGTCCTCACACAGGAGCAGCAGCTGGACCATGTTCGAGGGTCGCATCATTTCTTGTTTTATAACCGGCCTCTGACAATACCTCAGCTGAGGAGAGACGAAAATAATAAATACTTAACACACAGGTACAAGATTACATCCATCAAGAATCCATTGGGGTTTTGAATAACATTCAATAACATCTGAGTTTACATTAACTGACACAGCCACTGACAGCAAATTTCATCTTAACAAGTGCTTATCAGAAAACGCTGTAACTAAATTTAAACAATCTCTCCCATCGTTCTTTTCCTCTGTCTTGCAGAGTAGATCTTGTTGATAAATTTACAACTTCAATACAAACTTCACTCGATAAAACTGCTCCGCTGAAAAAGAAAGTAATCAGAGGAAATTAGCTCATTGGTTCAATTCTGAGTTACGTACTTTAAAACAGACATCTAGAAAGCTAAAAAGAAAATGGCGCTCCACTAACGTAGAACAATTTTATTCATCTTGGAAAGATAGTCTGCTAACGTAATAGAAAGCTCTCCGTATAGCTAGAACTATTTATTATTAATCTTTAATAGAGAATAAAAATAACACCAGGTTTCTGTTTAGTACTATTGCTAGACTAATTAAAAATCCCATCTCTGTTGAACCATGTATCTCTACAACTATAAGATGTGATGAGTTCATGAGATTCTTTATAAATAAAATTATTTCAATTTGGGGAAAAAAATCGAACCATAATTCCTACTATCCCCTCTGGTTCCCTGTAAGATGAGGCAAATTTAAAAATGTCACTAGAACCTGATTTATATTTGGATTGTTTTTGTCCTGTTGAGCTCTCTGAATTGTCAAAAATAATAGCTTCATCCAAACCATTCACATGTCTGCTAGATCCCACCCCAACTAGACTGTTTAAAGAGGTATTTCCATTAATTAATAACTATGTCTTGGATCTACTTAATTTGTCTCTAATGGTTACGTAACACAGAGTTTTAGAATTGCTGTAATTAAACCTTTACTTAAGAAACATAACCTTGACTCAGGAATCCTAGCCAATTATAGACCTATATCAAACCCAACTTTCATCTAAAAAATTCTAGAGAAAATAGTTGTAGGTCAGTTGTGTGAACATCTGCAAATAAATAATCTGTTTGAAGAGTTTAAGTCAGGGTTTATAGCTCACCATAGCACTGAAACTGCACTGGTGAAATATCCTGATGCATGCTCAATAATCCAAGTAGAAAAATCTAAAAAAAAGTTAAGTCTGGTCCTCTGGACGGGTTCAAAAAATAAAAAATTGTAGAAACGTTTCGTCTTTCATCTGAAAGACTTCTTCAGTCTGAGGAGCTGTTAGCTCTTAGTCTTATAAATTGCACCCTCTCATATCCCCTCATCCTCTCGCACTGGTGAAAGTTACTAATGATATTCTCATGGCCTGCAATCTCAGGATTGAAGACGCAAAAGCAGTCAAGTCTGGTACATGTTTTAATAAAACTTTTTTAATTCTTTCTGTGTACAGTAAATATGGTTTAAATACTGGGATCTCATTTTAAACTCACATCTGAACACTGAGCGGAGAACAACAGGAGGGGTCTTCCCCCCATCTCTTTTAGTCATGAGAGCTCAGCGAGCAGTGGAGAAGTCGTCATATTTTTAAAGCAGTCAGTAAGTCAAAACTGATAAATATTTATATAAAAGTTGCTGTTTTTTAATCTTTCTTTGTACGATAAATGTGTTTATATACCAATATCTCATTTAAGCTCCGCACATAACGGAGAATTACAGGAGGGAGAGGTTGTTCTCCCTTCCTCCTCCTCCTGATATGAGTTCTGCTGAGGCTAAATCACATCAAATCTATTTAGAAAGTGTAGGAGTTCTGGTTCTTGTGTTGTGCCACTCACTCTCTCCCACAGTTTGCTGCAGGCAGCAATCAGCTGATTAGCTGCACCTGTTCCCTGTCTGGAGGACTGCTCTGTCAGACTACTTAAGCTGCTGCCAGACTCTCCTCCAGTGCTGGGACATTACCTTAGAACGGTAACGGTATGGTAATGTTCAGCCTTATTGTCTTCAGACATTTTTTCCTACAACAAGCTTTAATGCTTTATGTT